TACTTTTAGTAAAAAACTTGCTACCTGAATTTAACAAAATGCTCAAAAGGTCATGCGCTACTAGAACTTTATTTTTTACCATTTAGATAAGCTTTAGAAGCATGTCAATAACAGCGCCTATTGTTGATTTTTGTTGCAATCATTTGCGCATTAGTCGATTATCGGGCCCGCGGTGCCAACTAAAATCACGCTAGTAATCTGTTTTGCTATCAGCCGTTGTGTGATTAATTAGCTTACTACGTTCAAAACTCACTTTTACAATCCAAACGCCATTGTTATGGGAATAATTGATTACATTGCCTTCAAAAGCCACGAGATTCCCGGTGTTTAGAACATTTTGATCTATATTGAGAACAAACTCCTCCAAAGCTTCTTAGAACGCATGAAAATGGACAATCGAGCTCAACTACAAAAAGGATCCTTTGTGTTATTTATAATTAAACTAATAGATTGAACGGTTGAAAACTGACAGAAGACTCAAGAGTTCCACGCTGTGTGGAGCACATGCATTACAATTTGGGGGTGAGTGCTATCCGGGTTCGCATAAGGGAGACAATACATGATTTGGCCACGGCTGCGAACACTGAAGTGGTGAGCGTCTATGATGGAAGGAACATCATTGATGCCCAGTATTTCAATGGAATTCACAGTGACATTTTACTAGACACTAGGGGTTGGGCGATATTTCGACCAACCGGTTTTGCGCCTCTGAGAAGCCTAGCAAAAGCAGTTGAAGATGGTGGAGAGCAAGTTTTATGGGTTTCACGCATCTGTTACGGATCTGAGCTCAGAGCCGAGAGTGTTTAGGCAATACTCAGGCAAGCTTTTGCCTGAAGAGAAGGGTTGGGGATCAGTGAAAGGTGCAAAAGGCGTGTTTGCATGGCTTGTACTTACAAGCCCAGCGGCGCAAATCAATTTTCCATGTAAGACTTTTGAACGGGTGAAGCTTTGGACTTCTGAAGAAGCACTTCGTACCGGTCTGTATTTTTGCAAAGCAAAAAGACGGATCAAAAAGTTGGTTAGTTATGAGTGGCTTTGGTATTGCTTTCGAGCGATCTCGAAAGCATTCCTAAATCGTTGAACTGCAATTGAATTGCTTTTGGAAACCGGTTGGTCGAAATTTCGCCCAACCCCTACTGGCAGGCCAGTGAGTACAATTCACCTCAATTCAATTCAAATCCAATTCAGATTCAATTCAAGTCCAACTTCAGATTGACTTCAAATTCAGTTTGGGTGGGGGATATGCACGAGCTGCCTATACTGGAAGATCGGTATGGAGCTAGTTCAACAGTACAGCTGAGGATGAAAATTGATCCTCCCAAAACTTCCGGTGGCTTCCTTTTAATTGCTCAGTATGGTAGATACTCCATTCTGAAAACTTCCTATGCAGTACAGTTTGAACTTATGAGGTACTCTTTGATGCTCTCCATCAACAAATTATGGACTTGTATGATCATTTCAATTCAAAGCCATCTAACATAATTTTAGCTGGTTAGGATCCAGGACACACTTAACAAAAAGAACTTGACCAGGTCAAACCCATATTTTTGAGAAACAGATTTTCAACTGCTTCAGAACAGTGGAAACGCCGAGTATCAACCAAAAAGACATCTGTTACTCAAAGCCAAATTGCTCTGGATCAGGCTAGCTTTTCCAGTTCTAGAACTGATGTTAAGCAGCTGGATATCTGTCTTCAATTATCAACAAGTGGTATAACACATGTATATTTATCACATGAAGTATTGGACAAACTACAATCACATTCAGAAAACTTGCAACTATGCAAATAAGATAATATAAAAGGACAGAACAATAAAATATTATATTCTCCACAATACAATTATACATATACATATGTTTCATAAACCTTTGAAGGTTCAATGAAATCTCAAGCAAACTACTAGAGATGATTGATCTTTGATTTCAAGTTTATCCCATTTACTCAAACATCTATGTAGTTTTGATGAATTGATTTCAGATCTTTTTGAGGTTTTGTTATAATCATATGATTTTTTGATCATTGAATTGAATGATATTTGATTAACTTTTTGAAGCTTTAAAGTTTTGAGTCCAGTTGAAAGAAAAGAATTCTGTTTAGGAAAAACATCAAAAAGAAGCAATGGTGATGATGCATGACCTAATTTGGTTTGGCTCTCTATAAAGCCCTACAATTTTCATCAGGTTTACACTTATCAACCAATCTACCAAAAAAGGGTAAACAAAAGAAAAGAAATAAGTGCAAAGATGATTAAGACTTAAGAGAAGGTGAGCAAGGATGTACAGTCCCCTCCAAGTGGTTTACGTAATCATTCAGGTTCGGCAGCGGCGGGGCCGTGGCTTGTTGCAAACCCGATGATTACAAATCCTAGGCGTGGGGACGTGTACAAGTGAATCTGGAATGAATCAGATCCCTGTCCAAATTAAGAAACAGTTCTAATTGATTATGATCATCAGCATGAATAATATGATTGATGAAATCTTGATCAGTTTTGAACCCATTCAGCTCTTCTTCTTCATCTTGAGTTTTATGAATCAATTGTAATTTTGAGTTTGATGAATCAGTCAATTTAATGAATGTTGTTGTTGGACATGTAGGTAATGGTGATGAAGGTAATGGTGATGGAGTTGATCTTGATGATGTTGATGTTATTTTATGGAATGAATTGATTGAGGGTTCATATTGTATTGGAGTGATTTTAATTAATGGATGAATCGCCATATGAGAGTTGATTGATTGATAGGTGATAGGTTGTTGGTGATTTGATTTACATATATAAGAAACTAAAGATTGAACAATTGAAAAGTGATAAGAACTTGAGTAAAGTGTTGTTCATGATGAAGATGATAAAAGTTATTGATAAGATTATCAGGTATAGAGTATATGAGACAATCCATCTACTCACGATAAAGCCATGGTACTGTTGAACTTGTGAAAAGTTGTGGGGTTAAAAGTTTTTCACAAGCTTTTTGGATGGATCGATCACCAAGGCTGTTAAGGGGAGAGAGGTTGATCAAAGTGGTAAGTGAGTCAGGAGTGTGGTAATGGAGTATAGAAGTGGATGCAAGGAATCAATCAACATAAGGGTTGTTTGTTTGTTTATCACTTTCTGTGACATCATTTGGGGTCGCCAAGACGCGACTTGGCGGCCCTGTCTGAGAATAGGCACCCGGGCTTGGCCCCGTTACCCCGTCAGATTGGACCCGTTTTAGAAAAGTCCTTGCTCAAGGCACTCAAAAATTTTGGATTTCAGACTTCAGCTGATGTACACATATAATTTCTCTTGCAGTTTGAAATCATCATCGTTCAAAGTGAAAACATCAAGCTTTTCCAAACTAAAAAAGCACCTCTTGCCTAAAAAAGAGAGTAAGTACTTCACAAAAGAAAGAACCAAAAAGATATATGAGTACATAAAAATGACCTTTGTAAATAAACAACAACAAAAACAAAATGAGCAACCATGTCAGCTGAAAAATGTAACAAGATATGAATATAACAGATGAATAAATTTGAATCACAAAACCAAAGATGACCACCTGATCACCCCCTTTTTTCTGTCTTTCTCCATTTAATATAATGGTGATATTTAGAAGTATATAAATATTCCTTCCCAAAAAAGAGTCATGATAATGGGTACCCGCCAAATAACCAAAATCCTGGCGGGTTTTCATGTGTTTTCACAGGTGTTTTTGTGATGGGTTGTATGTATGTGTACTGCTTATATATATATATGTTTATACTAGAAAAGAACAAACAAAACCCCTTGTACCTATCCAATAGCCAGATACCACAACTCATCTCTCCTTGGTAGTTGAATGAGTTGGGGAGTTTCAAACATGAAGGCTTTTGTAACCCTGAATAATGTTTTTACACAATCTTTGCTGAGTTATGGCTCGGGGAACTCTCAAGCTGTTCATTGGGTGATATTTACAAACTCTGTTTTGAAGGAGAAGTCTTTTGATGAGGCTCAGAAGGGTATTTGACATCATAATTGTGGTTTATCTGACAATTACTCATACCTTCCAGAAATTCTGATGCCTTCATACGTGGACATGCAACTAAACTTAATTTCAGTTGAGTTTGGAAGACTGTTTGTCTGTTACTCTAGATCATACATTGATATTGGATTGATGTTGAACTTGAATTGAACTTGAATTGGATTTGAATTGGATTGAAATTGGATTGAAGTGGCCGTACTCACTGGCCTGCCAGTGTCTAGTAAAATGACACTGTGATTCGGTCTGATACATAGGTATGTACGATTATCACGACACTTCCTCATGATGTAACCTTTGAGGCGAATGTATTGATTCGGCTGGAGTTGAGCCTCACTATCTGTCGCTATGATGTGTATATGAGATACGCGACAAACAGGATGGGCTAACACAATGGTGCCACGAAAACACCGCCTCGAAACATTATTCTCTATAATTTCAAACTGGCACATTTGGATAACTAAAATCAATATAGAGGCGTAGCAAAAACAACCTGGGTACGTACTTCATTTTCTAATGCAACTATTCCGCTCCAGTACATAGTAAGCTGGCTGTCCAATACATTGGTGTTTGCTACAACGGCAGACATATCGTGATTCAGAAGGTAGTGGTTCTCGGGAGTTAATGTAACTTTCTAAGGAATTGACAATGTTGAAGTGGGGCTGCTGTTGTGTAATACAGATTTGGACGTGGCAATGTAAGTTATAGATTTATGATAAAATCACATGGCTGAAATGCCTAAACTCTTTTATTGATGTCACAGACATTGTCCCAACCGAGGGCCGACTGATGGTATGCACATTGGTCGCAGTATAGTGCCTGTTGTAATTTGATAGAATTTCAAGAGCGCTCACTGAAGCTCAGTAGGAGGATACTCTCATAAAACAGATCAATGATGTTGCCGTTTTGACATAACCTGACCCCACTGGATTCATTTACGTCAATGCCAACACTTTTTCCCAAATCTTAGCATTACAGTTATATACAACATGCAGAGGAAAAAACCATCATGCCCATAGTTCTTTCAAGCTGGCTGATGGCTCAAACCTATTACCGCCGTCTTTGTTTAGAATCCACCTTCATGTGATGTACTCCCTCAAAAGAAAGGATCTCACCAATTGAAGTACACAAAGCGCACTCGGCGCCCTCGTAAGATACCGTTACCCCTGAGGTGTCAGTTGATGATGAAGACAATGCATTAGCTAGGACATTTGTCCTCATAGTGATATTCTTGGGAAGCGCCGCTGGAATGGACGTGTATGATAGTTTTGGGGCCTCTTTGATGATAGATAAAGCCTCTACCTGAAAACAATATAATTTCAGCAAATGTTTGACTATTGGCTCACCATGTATTTACCTCACATTCCCACATCTTACTATCCTCATCGAAATTTTTGATGACACCATTACTAATGACCTCGGCTCCGATTTGGTAACAATGCAATTGACTTTCAGGTTGACTTGTTGTCCTCACGTAGTGTTTAGTCAACCACGTCACAGACGCCGCGGACTGTTAAAAGGCGATGTTAACAGAAGTGGAGAGACGAATGTTAAGGATACGCACCATAGGATCGTTGTCATACGACTTTATAGTCAAGGTCAACATGTCTCTACCCACCGAGCATTCGCGTACGGGTTGGCGAGCATGAATAAACCCATAAATAGTAGCAGTGGTTTTGTTGACAACTTTATAAAGAGCATCTCGAACTGTCCCACAAAACTTGCCGAGATCGATGGTGGTATCCTTGTTGAAGTAAAGATGGTCAATGATCAGGGTATTGGAGGCAATCAATTTGCACGTCATTGCGTAAAAATGCCCAGATTTTAAACGATCATTGAAACAACCAGTAGAGGTTAGGAGCACAGCATTCGCGTAAGAACCTTCATTGCCAAAACCCGAAGTTGCAATACCCCCACACACTGACACGAAACCACAAGCCTTTGATATTATTGAAGTGTCCTATTTACGAAAAAGAAATTTAGTATTGAACCTATCAATAAGCAAAACTGTGTACCTCTCCTTCAACATATGCAACGTAATGAATGTAACTTGAGCGTTTAGGTATAGTAGTACACATCGAGAGCATAAAAATGTTGACAATGGAAAGTAATATAGTGCCAAAGCGTATTGTTTATTTATTGCTTTACCATTGGAGGTTATTGCATCTCAATTCCGATAGTTTAACTGCTATTCAAAAAAAATTCATACTTGCCCAGGCCTGGTAATATTCAAAACCAAGAGTGGCTGAATCAGTAGGCAAGGTACTTATAATCATAACGCCTACGCTGCCTATGTGGGCGTCATAATCAATGGCATTGATTCTCAACGCAAGCGGGTTTGAACACTACAATCGACTTCACCCAAAGGATATATGAGTGTCATTGTTGTGAGGAATACAAAATTGTTACTCAATATATCAAGCTAATGGAAAGTGTATCTTTGCAATTTCGTAATTATCATCACATTTGCAATATCTACCCAAGACAATTAAACCAACTAACGGCCATAATCTATATCCATTACGGAGACCCAAAATAAGCAGAATAGTGTGTCCAGAGCACTTGTAACATACATGACTGCAGAAATACATCATTTTGAAAATCCAGTCTAACGTCTTATCGGGATCGAGGACGCTCCAACACAATGTTATTGACCTAATTATAGGCATGTTAACCAAAGTCATAATAATCCAGGAAGTTAACTCATGTGTACCACCCACATATTACTCTCTACTGAGAACTGTAACAGCGTTCCTTGTAACCAAACGATTTAACCTAAGCCACATGGTTGAGAAGAAGCTATAACTATGTCACTGATATCAACATATATAGCCGAGAAACTCATCCATCTCTCCCACTGTGTAGCACTTTAGCCCCAATCGACATGAAAAATGTCTTAGAAACTTACAGTGTTAACCCAGACGTTATGGCGCACAACCAACGCATTCCAGTTCCCCAGCAAAATGTTCCAATGAGTAACTCTTCCTCGGCTTGAAACATTGATAACATTAGTCTGCGGTCCACATAACATCCTTTCAATATTAGTCAATCTTTGGAGACGTCCGCGCATGAAGATCACTGTTGATGTGCTATTGGGGGGCGCCACGGCTTCTCCAGACAATGCTACGACTACGCCTTCTTGAAACAATGTGTCATCGGTCACTGTCAGTGTGAATGAAGACGGAGGACACCGCGAGATAACATTGAGAGCTTCGATTTCGAAACATTGGTAATGTATGCCATGAACTCTTTTGATATTGACCTGTATAATGTTGTTGAGCGTTAGAATTGTAAGAAAGGTTTCGAATGCAATAGCATACCAACTTCATTTTGTAACAAAACGTATCCAGTCCAGTACATGGGAAAAGATACTGACTTCGGAGTGTTCATATCTTCAGTGAAACAAAGCTGTAGAATCCGCGGGTAAAGAAATACATAGCAAAGCTCAAAGGTTATGGTTGCCAACTCCAGGCTAAGAGTTATTGACCATGAGATGGCAAATTTAAGCAGATGCTTGCAGGAACATTACTCTGTTTAAGGCTGATGAATGGGTTGGTTACCGCATTAAATATATTGATCTTCAGGGCGAGCGACCTAATGAGTGTGAGCTCATATTCAAAAAGATCAAGCATGTGGATTTTTTTTGTTACAACAGATCCACACAAAAGGAGTATGAGGACCAAGAAGAATATTGTGCCTGCTTAGCATTTGGCCGCGGAGGCAACCCATTGAAGGACGCATTAATGAAAATAGCCATACATTGGCACTATATAGCGGAGTGAACCAATACGTGGTACAAAGTTCAAAATCATCGGGCGGCACCCCACCAAAAAAGAATTATTAACGCTAATAGATCTACCACCACAACTTTTTTGTTGAAGCCCAACTTGGCAACATGCATGCTTCACTCTATACATATTAATGCAAAAATAGCTAGTACCAGGGTGCACTCGGATGAAGGCAAGTGTTGGTCTGCACAAAGATAATATATAGGTACCAACCTTCTTTCAAACTACAACAATTGGGCCAAATCAGTAATCAACCGGGTCGTAAAACATGCGGCCCAAAATGAAACCCACTCACGGGAGCAACGTCAAAATTATCCGCATTAACGAACCCCATTCAATTGCTCATAGCCTATATCAGTAGCCAAAGGTCTGCAAATGGCCCTGTGACTGGGATTTCTGCTTGCATTATCTACAACATCACAAGCTCAGCGGAGTTCCCATTGCATGACTACAAACTTACATTGAACACCCATTTGCTTTCCAGGGAATTACTATCCAGCACATTGCCAGCGAGTGCCACAAGGCTACCTGGGCGAAAGGCGGCTCTGCCGACTTCACAAAGGACTGAGCGACTCATATAACATTCAACCCCAAGCTCGATATAACTATCCAGCTGAAAAGGTCTTTCAACATAAAGTCGATGCTTATATTTGAAGTGAACGTACCTGTGAGTCGTACGCGACATGAGCGACAGTAGCGCGCCACCGCGCCTCCCTCCTCTGATAATGGCATGCAACAACTCTCCCGCGGCTAACAAAAGTTGTGGGACTTGGTTGTTGAACAATGTTTGGGTGCAGAGGAGTAAGATTGCTCTGTCTATTAGGATAAAACAACGTGTCACCACGCGTGTTTGATAGTACACACTGCAAACATTATTCAACTTCCCCAAGTGGGTAGGAAAAAGTGACTGGGAGTATGATTTGTCATAAAATGATCTATCACTCCACACCTGAGCCATAACACCCACACTACATATGTGTAGCAGGCTCAGTGAATATGTGGTTATCATGTACATACAGTTCTGCTCAGTTATATATGCTCATCAGGATAAGTTATTCATATGTAATACACACTGTAACTTTTTTGAGATCAAAAAAAGCATTCCAAAGATTGACTACATACACTGACTCAATGTTTTGGTGTAATCTCATCAACTCAACTGCATGTAACACCCTTTCTGTTACTAAGAAATAGCTTCAACAATATTGCCTGAGCACCTACAGAATTATATGTAGTGAATTTTGGGCACAATTTTTTCAAAGTCAAAAAAGTTACATGTGGTATTACATGTGTTTTATTTCTGCTGGTGGGCAAAAAACTGAGCAGACCTGTATGTACATGATAGCCAACTATTGACCTAGCTTGCCGCACATATGTAGTGTGGGTGAAATGGCTCAGGTGTGCAGTATTAGATTCTCTTATGACAAACTGTACTATCAATCATTTTCCTCTTACAATTTGGGGAAGTTGAATGATGTTTACAGTGACAATATTTCCTTGTAATCTATAATGTCTGCCAATGGCAAGCTCATTATCTTGAAACGGTATCACAATGAGCGGAATATTTCGTGGCGAGTCCCCCCCGACAGTGACCAAAGATCTGTATATGATTGTTGTAGGGTTGTTTTCCTTGTTTACGTGATTCTACATCGTGGTGAGATAGTTACTTCGATATCAATATGGAGAATCATCAACGCATTCCAGGGGTGGAAAGGAAGCTTACAACTGATGTGATCAAGAATTGGCCTTCTAATACAATTCCAAGGCGCAAGCGTTGCGTAGACATCCGTCTCAATCTAGTTTCACCAGAATAGAATGATAGTGATATATTTTGTATCAAAATTCAGAGAGTAGTTGGCTATATGATAAGAGTCTTCATTGCTTGCCATTCATAGTGAATGACATTAATGACATCTCAAGTGATTTTAAGCTCCCGTACCTGAAAGTCTGCTAAAGTTGTAACGAATGTAATAATCGATATGGCATTTAATCTTCTACCAGAGTTAGTCCTGACAGAAGGTCGTGGCTCGCGCAGCATCGGATGAGGATTTTTTTTATTTATACGTGATGTGCATAGCTGGAAGCCTTGGTTTTGGGAACTGGGAGCAGAGGTCAGCTCGAGCCACCATAGAACTAAAGTAACCTGGTACAGCGTCAGACCTAGGCTTCGGAGAACCCGCCAGGTAAACGGTGATGTACTGCCAATCTGGTACCTCATCAATCATCGTATTGGACCGTAGTCTTGCACATGATACATAGCGCCTCAAGGCATATTCAGTGAGGAAAGTAAAGTTTTTCCAAATCGCGCGCCTGTTCGGTTGGTATCAGAATGATGGGAACAGATTGCATATCCCTGGCGGAAGCTTCAAATTCGAGGGCGCCGTTGACTATTCTTGTGAGACTCAGACACATAGCTGATTGATGTAAGTTTTATCTAGACTACAGAAGAGAATAAATGTACTCTCTTGAAATTCATCAATTGATCAACGCCATCTTTCTCACTCCGCCAAGCGGACCTCAGCGCCAGATTTTCAGATGTCAGACTTACCTTTTGATGCTGGCCTACGCGTAAAATGGAGCGGCTTATTTGAGTTGGGACTTGAAGTGAGTAGTCTCGGGGTCCTCACCAAGCAATGATTTTATTGTATAGATCCCTATAGGTGTGACACCCGATAGAGCACAGCAATTGGTTCGAGTCAGTGTACCATTGCTGGAATTTGACTTGCCAAATCTGCATTTCTTATTGGTGACGACAGCCATTGACGGAAAAGTCTTGAATAATCAATGCTACTACTTATCAGGGTACATTGGATTGATTTTGGCGGAGGGCAACCTAAGGATGCACCCTACCAATGAATGTTTTGGCACTCCTCAACCATCGGGCTCTCCTCACCCGAGATCTAGTAAAATGGGTGTTGAGGCCCAAGGACGTATTGCCCGTATCTGGCGTCGGGAGGGGGTTATTGAGAATGAAGTGGCATGGATGCTGATGCTTACTCATACTGCAAGCAGATTGACCGTAAGCTTTCCCAAATGAATAATGTTTCGACGCCTGACCTATGGTCTAATATTGGTATAACAGCAATTTCCACAGTTTATATGCGGTACCTCCCTTGATAGAAACGCGGCTTGGTCGCCAAACATTCGATTTTGGAAACATCGTTGATGTAAGTGGATCCATCATCAATTGCTCCGGTAACGCAAATGAATGGATAACAATAGTAAGTCACTTTCATAGTAAAATCAGGAGAGTAGCAGGAATTTATTGATGACAAAATCCTGTCACGGAAACAGGTTGAAGTCATTACGTTAGTAGGCACAGTACGGCAATGAGCAGGATTTATTCTCAAGAATGCAATTAGTCGTTATTCATGGGCAATTGCGTTTCTAAATTTGTAAAAATGGCGCAGTGATGATATTTTTGTTTTTTTACATTTTGTGATATTAAATCCTGATATCATTATGTACACAAAGGTCATGAAATTAATTTTGTATTTGAAATTTTGATATCGCCACAAGGAATAACAGTGCGAATGTTATACAAAAACATTTGGATTTGAGCTGAGGAAAAAATTAATGAGTCTGGAGTACATGAGCCTTGATAATAATACATAACTGGTCCAAATAGCTTTCCAGGATATAATACCGAGGAATACACTTCTTAATGATTAGCAAAACGTCTTGCAGAGCATTATCAAGGAGTGGAAGACTTGAATGAGATTGAATGATTCACAGGGAGAAGCCTAAACAATGGAAATATCTCGGACCTGGGTATTGATCAGTTACCACGTCAATACAAAGGAAAATATTGCATACCTTGACAATCCAATGTCGCAAGCCCTCACAGTAACCTATGACATTGCCAGTGATGTTTACAATGTTACCGGGGTCAAGAATGGCCAAATCTATTTGCATCATTACTTTCGCGTTGCAGTCGTATTGACTCACAAACTCTGAATAAGTCATCATCTGGAAAAGCGTCATGAGCAAGTGTTCAAAGATCTCTAATAAGGTCACTCACATCCTTGTTCCATTCGCTGTGCCTAACGAGTAGTATAAAATCACATGCATCACTGGAACCATCGTTGGGAAGCTTAGCATAAAGTATTTCTTGACCTCCAACAAATTTCCATCGCATCGTGGCATGCGCGCTCTTGTCGCATGGTGAGATGCGATGTGAAATCACACATGTGCCAGGTAATGGAAAGCCTGTGCAATATGACATCGCACAGGTTTCACGCGATCCAACGTGTGAAATCGCATAGGTTTGTGTGATCTTACCTTGATGCAATTCAAGATCGCAGGGACTCAGCACGACCTGATCCTCAAGCGATTCAATATCGCATCAAGTCAATGCAACTCAACCGCTCAGGCGATCCAACATCACATCAACTCTATGCAAACCAACTGTTCAGGCGATCCAACCAGTCCAATCACATGAATAATATCTGAAGATATCATCTCATCGCTCAACATGAATGCAATCCAAAACCACCTCCTCTCATGTGATTCCATCCCACAAACAACTTAGCTTCGCCTCTTCCCATCAGATTAAATCCGGAGAAAGAACTACCAATGGAGGCTTGTCCAGAAGGTACAACCAAGCAGTGAATCTCCTCTTGTTTGGTATAGCTCAGCATTGCATCGTACCAACTTGATTTCTGGATGATAGTTCATGCTTCTTGGTGTGATACTTTTGGATGAAAAACTTACTTTACAGTGAAAGTTGTTTACAATCCAAAAAGTGATATGATACAGAAAGTTCACATTTGGAAACCAATCTTGCAACACCTATATTCAACACTTTAATAACCTCAGGTCTTTTGTAATCAAGAAGTTTAAGAAGAACAAGAACATTGAAATCCAATTAGATGTTGACCACCAACTTCAAGATACCTTCAAACATCTGTTTTATTTTCATCAAGTTCTTCATCAATTAAACCTAAGATAAATTTTATTAATTCACAATCGTCAATGATTTCTTCTAATACTGATTGTCTAAGTACAAACTTTGGATTGGTATCATTTAAATTAATTGAACACTTTTCTTGTTTTCTTTTTGTAAGGTTTTGGATCCGATCTTTTTATCTTCCTAATGTTCATTTTGATTTTGATTTGAAAATGGTGGGATTGAAAGTGTAGTAATGTATGCATTTGGTGGTTTTTCTTGTTCTTTTGGATTCAAGTTCTCTAATTTTGGTAAATCATTGAATGTTTTGATTGTAATTGAATCATAGATTCTTGATTCTGATAATGGTTTCACAATTTCTTTGTGATCTTGTTATGAACCAATGCTCGCAGTGGACACTGGTAAGGTACCAATGGCTATCTAACTAGATTGCAGTATGAAGAGAAAAGACTACAAGCGTGGGAGGACAAAGTACAACCCCCGCGCCGTGCTACTCACTACAAGCATAATCCGGTACAAGTATATCATGGATTATTACATTATCCCCCTTTTAGCGCCCAAGTCCCTCTTGCTGCTCTGCGCTCTATCCCTGGGTCAGCATTAAAAAACCACGTGGGAAAAAGCTTGACCCGCTCTCACTTTCTCCTATGCCTTTTATGTCTGATTGCTGCCTCTGGAAACCTCGTGTGAAAAGCTTTGATTAAGTCTTGCGCATGATTCATATTTGACGCCGGTTCCCACGAATCTTCTTCTTTACCAAATCCTTTCCAACTGATCAAATATTGGAGCTTGTTGTACCTTTTTCGACAATCTAATATTTCATTTATTTCCCATTCCTTCTCTCCCTCAATTGTGATCGGAGCTGGTTGTGGTAGTTTTCGGGTACCTATTGTATCTGGTTCGTATTTCCTCAATAATGAGACATGAAAGACAGGGTGTACTCCCTTCATTGTCAGTGGTAGTTCCAATTTATAAGCAGAGTTAGAAATTCTTTTAACGATACGGAAAGGTCCCAGCCAACAATGATCCAGTTTGGGACTCGGTCGCGTGGTTGATATGTTTTTGCTGCTGAGCCACACACGTTGTCCAATTTCCCATGATGGTGTACCCCTGATTCCCTTGTCGAATTGATTCTTCATCGCCTCTTGAGCACCTAATAAACAGCTTTGTAGCTCCATTTGTACTTCTGTGAGTCTGCTTATGCGTTCTTCCACTGCTGGTACGCATTGATCTTCCGACGGGATTGGTCCGAGGCTCAAGTCGTAGCCATAATTCGCCTTGAATGGCGACACACCGGTTGACGTATGGGTACTGTTGTTGTAGGCAAATTTGGCTGGTGGAAGTAGGGCCTCCCAGTCGTCCTGATGGTAAGTAACAAAGTGACGTAAGTATTGTTCTACTACTTTATTAGCAATCTCTGACTGCCCGTCTGTTCGAGGGTGCCAGGCCGTGGAAGGGTGAAGGGTGATTCCCAGTCGTTTGTTCAACTGAGAGGTGATTTTGGATATAAACACGCTTCCCCTGTCTGATACAATGGTCTTAGGGGTACCATGCAATTTCCATACCTCTTTCATCATCAAATCAGCTAATTCTTCCGCTCCATCAGTCTCTTTGCAGGGTAAGAAGTGGGCCATTTTTGTCATGCGATCAATGACAGTCAAAATACTGTCCTTACTGTTTGAGAGAGGTAATCCGGTGATCAAGTCGTAGCTGATGTCCGTCCATGGTCCGGCTGGGATAGGCAACGGCTCCAATGCTCTGAACGGCTTCATCGACGATGGTTTGATCCGTTGACACGACGTGCAGCCGTCGACATAGCGGTTAACGTACGCTTTCTGACCTGTCCAAACATAGTTACGCCTCACCGAGCTAAGGGTCTTAGCTCTCCCTGGATGTCCCGCTAATTTTCTGTCGTGGTAGGTTTTGAGGATTTCCGCTCGTAGTTTGTCATTGGAAGGTACAACCACTTTGCTCCTGTGATATAGTACCCCGTCTGTTACCTCATATTCACCTACTGCTCCTTTAAGTTTAGATGACATAGGGCTGGTAACTGCGGTCATGAGTTCGGTTAAGTCTTGATCTTGAGGCGTCATTTCTCTGATTTTGTCCATGATTTGTGTGTCAGACCAATGTTGAACATTAATGTCAGTTGCGTCTTCGGCTTCCACATCCAGGACATCTAATTCAAACCATCTGGTAGCCTCTGAGTGCTCGACTTCCACGTCCTCCTGGAACTGTGCCTCGAATGAGTCGAATTCGGCAAAAGTGTTGTCGGCGATGTTAGATGGTCGTAAGAGTTGACCAAAAGTCAGCTTGTCCTCTGAAGTTGGGGCTAGGTCAGGTCGTCGAGACAGAGCATCAGGTTGGGTTGAGTGACGGCCTGGTCGGAATTTAATAACAAAGTCGAAGCATGCTAAGGTTTCAGCCCATCTGGCTTGCCGCCTTGTTAGCTGTTTCGTGGTCATGAAATTCTCCAGGTTCTTGTGGTCGGTGTACACAGTGACGTCGAGACGGTGAGGGTTACCTTCCAAGTACTGCCGCCATTCCTTGAAGGAAGCTACCAAGGCAAGAAGTTCCTTGTCGAAAATCTCATAATTTCGTTCGGCCGGTATCAGAGACCTTGATAAGTACGCAACGGGGTGGATTTCACCGTCCTTCTGGCTTCTTTGCGAAAGGACTGCTCCCAGTGCGAAGTCTGAGCAGTCACATTCCAGAATAAACGGCTGGTAAGGGTCGGCTATCTTCAGAACGGGTGCTGTTGTGAACGCTGTTTTAAGCTCATCGAATGCCGCCTGTCTCTCCGGGGTCCATGTGAAAGGGGTGTCCTTTCGTGTCAAATCATGTAGAGGTTGGGCCTTCTTTGAGAACTGATCGATGAAGCGGCGATAGAAGTTAGAAAACCCGATAAATCGAAGTACGTCAGAAGTTGTCTTAGGAGCTGGCCAATCCGTTACTGCCTTAACCTTAGCAGGGTCCATTGGAATCTTGTTTTTTGAGATTACTAATCCTAAATAGCTGACTTCTGACTTGGAGAATTCGCACTTCTCCGGTTTGACCCACAGGGAATGCTTCTCTAAGATTGCTAGTATTTCATCCACCGCTTCCTCGTGGTTGCATCCTTTTTTGGTATAGATCATGATGTCGTCAAGGAATGCTGCGGTATCTTTTCCAATACGTCCCAGCAGAATGTCTTGTATAAAAAATTGGAAGCAACCTGGCGCGCCGGTAGGGCCAAAGGGCATCGTCAGCGGTGCAAACTGGCCTGCTCTGCATATAAAGGCCAGTTTGTCCTCGTCGCCTTCTGCTACTCGGATATTCCCGTAAGCATTCCTTAAATCAAGTTTGGTGTATTCTTCTGCATCAAGAAGACTATCAATAAGGTCCATTGTCAAAGGTAACGGGTA